AAACGAGAAACTTTTCTCTCTGAAGTCACATATTAGTTTACAGTATTGCCGTCACAGCCAGTTTCAGGTGTGGCCGTCAGTATCCAGAACAATGAAAATACTGGCATGTGCGTGCCATCACATTCAACTCAGAAAGCAACTAAAAGAAATTAAAAATAAGTAAATAAAAAAGAAAGGCTATATGAAGGTAGAAATAAATATCTAAGGCGGATGGCAGACAGCCAGGCAGTCAGGAGTTAGTGACTTCAGCAGACTAGAGACAAGAGGCTATGGTTAAAGACAGTACAACTAGCTGTCACCTCCCCCACTGCCCACCCAGCGTCTCCACAGGGCCAATGCAGAAGCTAGCTAGGTGACACACAAACAAGGACCTGGTTAAAGCATCTGATGGGGTGGGGTCCCTGAGATTCAAAGTACAGCAGGGAAGGGCTGGCATAAGAACTGATCTGCAGACAAACAAAAGACCTTGCACGGAGAACAAACGGAGACAAAGTGTGAGAAATGAGTGTGTAAACCTAGAGGGCACGCTGAGGAACACCCAGGAGGGAAGCAAACTGAACTGCAGCCACGCTCCTCAACGTGGGACAATCTCACAAAGTAGTGGAGCGAAAGAAAAACAGCATAGTATAGTCCTATTTATATACGACAGCTCGATAAACAGATCACAGTGGCAGAGGGAGTGTGCAGTGAGATGGTTTAGCAGGTAAAGGTGCCAGTCACCAAGCCTAACAACCCAGTGTTTGATCCCAGAACCCACACGGCACAAGAACCAACATCCTCAAACCTCCAACACATGTACCCTAGTGCTCCTACCTAGATTTTATAACACACATTTTAGTTTCACAGAGAGCTTCATGGGCAATATAGGCCTGGCTTATCTAAATGGAAGTTGGGGGCATGACCCACAATCAGTCCTTGTCCCTACCACTGCTTCAAGCAGGCACTGGCCTGCCTCACAATGGAAAGAAACTTCCCATGATCCTCGGGGATAGATGTATGTTCAGAACACGACAGTACCCCTTCACAACATCCCGCTGTCCCTTAATTCTAAACTTTCCCATTTTTAAAAAGCATTTCCTTGGGTGGGGAGGGGACATTATGTGTGCAGGCCCAAGGATGTCAGTCTCTTCTTCCACCATGTGCACCCCCAGGACCTAACTGGCACTTTGCCACTGAGCCCCCTAACCTTCCATTTTCCTTGGCTAAAGGCCCTCAGAACGGCTTCATGGTGTCAGAGCCATTCAGTCAAGTGACCTACATCTAAACGTTCCAGGCTTGGTTCAGTCTGCTGCCGCCATCTTGAATGGCCTGGTTTTATAGGGAGCTCCATAAGTCATGTAGTTTATCCAGGGATTTGTGAGTCAAGGGCCAGATTCTTGGAGCAACTTCCTTATAAACAGACAAGTCAGATATGGCATTCTTGCAATATATTCAAATATTTCTTTGGAGAGAAAATAAGCCTCAGATGTTAAATTCTGCCTTAGTCATAACCCAGAGTCCTATTCTAAAATCCCATTAGACTTTTCACTTACTTTTTGTTTTTTCCTGTCAGCTAATGAAAAGTTCACTAGCAAGATGCATCCGTTTAGCTCAAAACCCTCCTGTGGCCGGGCAGTGTTGGCCACGCCTTTAACCCCAGCACTTGGGAGGCAGAGGCAGGCGGATTTCTGTGAGTTCGAGGCCAGGCTGGACCGACAACCTCCAAAACAATAGAGAAACCCTGTCCCGTAAAACCAAAACAAAAAAAACAAAAAAACAAAAAACCTGGTCTAGCACTGTACCTGGCTCCTCGCGAATGCTCGGTACATGAACATCTAATGAAACCCCTATAATCTGTGCTTGTCCCCAGCTGATTTCTACTAACCGCTGTTGGGGAAGTCCTGTGTATATGTCAATAAAGCACTGTTGGCCAATAGGGAAGCAAGAGAGGTGGGACTAGGAGTCCAGGAGGACGCTGGGTAGGAGAAACACAGGGAGTCGAGATATAACCTCCATAGGGATAAGAAGCCTGGAAACTTCTCCGGAAAGAGAAATACTTAGATTAACAATTATGGGATAAATACTTAAGTCAGAGCTAGCCAGTAAGAAACAAGCAAGGCCAACAGCTTCATAATTAATACAGTGTCTTGTGTGTTATTTGGGGACTACATTGTGGCAGAGCCCAGGCGACTGGCGGTGAGGAAATCAAAGCGGCTGGCAAGAAAAAGGCATCTCTCTACAAACTGCACATGAAAATCAGACCTAATCCCTAGAAGGCATCCCTGAAAACACACATAGCTCACTAGGCCTGGTGACATTCATCTTGAGGAGGCTGGCACAGGAGGACCATGTTCAAGGTCTGCCTGTGCCTGGGCCTCATAGGGAACTTAGGCAAGGCCAGTCTGGGTAACTGACAAGATACTGCCTTAAAATTAGAAGTAAAAAGGCAGCTAGGGATGTAGCTCAACATAGGGGACCACTTGTCTAGAACGTACAAGGCAAGGCCCCGTGTTGGCTTCATAGTACTGCAAGAGGAAACAAAGCAAATGAAGACTCCTCTGCAGAAACTGGAATAATGTGGGAGACGTTTCTTGGCAGTGCTTCAATGTTGCTTTTTTGTTTCCGCAAGATTGTCACCAGAATCCTGGAGCACTTGCTTTGATGTACACCATGGGAACTGCCTGGCCTTTGTGACACTAATGGCATCTTGGGTACATTTAACTGCCCCTAATTGTCAGAAAGGCTCTCCCCTTTCGGCGCTAGGACACTGTTGTCCCCATAAACTGCTTCAGAACATAAAAACAATCTCCATTTCTCATGGCAAGAAACATTCAAACAAGTGGAGTAACCGCCACAGGGACTTTCAGGGGCCACCACAGGGGTTCTAGCACTCCGGGTGCTACACACTCCGGATGAGGGCCACAGGCATCTTTTCACCAGCCAAAGTGACACTTCACATGCTTGTTGCCCTCAAAATAAATACCCCGAAAACTGTTTCAAAGCCTATGCACAGAAAAGACATTGCTGAAGAACTATGTATTGACATGTGCGTAATCAAATGCATGCAAACATTTTGTGTCACTGGGTCATCTAGAGTTTAATGTCTTTAAGCACATTGCTTTGCACTAAACAAAACAGTTGGTGGCTGAGCAAAAAAATTGCTTTACAAAGCTTCAGCAAACACCAAGGATTAGCTATTGGCAGCAGAAACAAGGAATCCTTTAAATCCGTTTGATCCAAAAGGAAAGAGAAGGGAGTGAAATATCTAACAGTATTCCAACCCCAGACAAAACATTGCCATGAAACAGGAAGGCCTTATTTACCCCCATCCAAGCCCAAGGTAGCTAGGTAATTAGTTTTCTTTAAACAACAGCTTGTTTTGCTGACATCTCATTTTTCAGAAGCAGCTGTGAGCCAAATATAGTCCTGTTTATTCACTCCCTAGAAGGCTGTTTTAAAAAGAGCTTCTTCTGGTAAAAATGTTGCATCGTGTAATTGGGGAGAACATGAAAAGTGACACTTGATGTTTGTGTTCAAGTAAACATCTGCTTAAAGTCCAGTTTTCCGTTTGTGAAGAATCCTTTTATTTCGTGCCATTAGGCACACTAAATGATTAAGTCTTCCTTGTTTGGGGTCATGCTGGATTCCAAATGTAATAGGAGAAATTTCTTGAGGCAGAGTTCTTTGTTCTGGCACTGGGGGACCAAGTGTGATACTACCCAAGTACAGTCAGTGTCTGGCAGAGTTGTACGGAGGTTGGTTTGTCCTTGGTTATTACAAAGATAGGAAAATTACCCTGAGCACCACCTGGGGTGATTTACACCTCTAATCACAGTACTCAGGAGGCTGAGGCAGGTTCGATGAAGGTCAACCTAGTGTTGAAAGCCTTTCCAGCAAAACTCTACCGTATCTGAGATCTAGTTAAGTCATCTGTCACCCCCTAAAGGAGGGCACTAGTCACTGACAACAACTGTATTTGATCTTCAGCTTACTGTGGGCTTTTCAGTCTATGAACAAAAGCCATTTTACACTGTTCTCTCAAATCTGACGCCTATCCTCTCCTCCCTCGGAAGCTGGGGTCCTTATTTTGGAGTGAGTGGAGGTGGGTTTCACAACCGTCATCAAGACTGGTTGAGAACTCACTTTGACTAGTGTCATCTCGTGCCCTTTGCTTCCACTGCTGACTACACAGAGCTTCCCTACAACTAAATCTTGTCAGATTTCAAAGCCATGTTGCACCATTTTAAACCAGGAGCAAGAAACCCCAAGATCAATTTCCCAGTGCTGTGTAAGTTAATCTGTGGCCTCCTCATGGAAGAAAACAAAGACTGATGCTATGACTTTGGTAACAAGAAGTGAGATTTACTGTTCAAGGTGGGCGAGGTACAGCAAAGACGGGGGTTGGAGGCACATGCCTGTTCTGAGCTTGTTGGCATGGGTTAAGAGTCCCAGACAGTGCTCTTGTCACTCCATAAGGGATTTCTGAGTTCAAGGCCTGGTACAAAGCAAGCAAGTTCCAGGACAGCTAAGGCTGTTACTCAAGAGAAAACCTTCATCAAACCAGCCCACCACTCCCCCCTCACACATAAAAATCTCATTCTGTCTTCTGGGAAAGTGCGATCATTTTATGTTCTTTCTGAGTCATTTTCCATTAGTGCTTATTCTAAGTTTTTAAAGTCCAAAGCACTTCTAAAACTGTTCAGATTGAAGCAGCCAACTCTTGGGCAGAATAAGAGTTTGGCTGTCTTGCTCATACAGACATGTGCTACCTCATGAGGGGCCAAAGGCTGTGCTGCTGGGCATGAAACCTCTATCATAAAGAACACTACACAATACGCTCATTCTCGTGGTCTCTGCAGTATTTTAGTCTATCAACTGTCTGGAAATAGCATGCCACTCTCACTCACTGAGGTTCCTTCCAAATACAAAGTAGTGATAGCTAACAAAACCACTACAACTGCTTTTGTTACCCAGTCTCTTCCACAGCAGAGAACACGGCTGAGATCATTCCAAGGACTGTCTCCAGAAGACTGTATTTTATTTACTTTTACACATGGACACTTTAACATCTGTAGGTCCTCTGAAAGGTAAATTAAGGACAGTAGTACTTGAAGCTACAACAGAAGCAATGCAAGTTAAAGTATAATCTAACTTCAGGTGTGCTTCAAATTGGAAGTTTTTAAGTCATTTAAATGTGTTGCACTGATCACGATTAAATGTCAGAAACCCAATTCAAATTAAGTATAAACAAACCTGTGGGGGGGGGGGGTGAGGGGCACCAAATCCCCAACTCATGCCCCTAAGTAAGATATTAAGAGGCTGGGTTTTAAAGTAAAACTTTAGGAACCAGGGTCTATGACCAACCCCCACCCCAAGGCTCTCTAGCCATGTGCCCAGTTTATATCACCACAGGTTTCTGCAGCAAGCAGCATTCACCAACCACTTACTACTGATCTGCCTAGGTTGGGTTCTATGAGAAGAAATTGGCAGCAATAGAGTTAGAAACCTCTAGGCTGGCCTCCAGCACTAGAGTTTTCTAAACACGAGGGAGTTTCTGAAAACTGGAAGGATTGGAGACTAGTCTAGTGAACTTGATCCCTCCAAGTGAGACAGAAATCTACAAATAGAGCATTATGCTGTAGGAACTTCCCTGACTTCAGTGCGTGGGGGGGGGCTGAGTCTGAGCTATCGTAAACTGAGCTGGCTGAAGGAACAAGTCAGAGCTCAGTCTTTTCAAGATACTCCAAACATTTCAGCCTTTCATTCTGAAGATCAGTAGTTCCAGACATTTCTTTTGACTACTAGCAGACAGATCAGGCTGCTTCTAAGAATTACACTAAGCAACATAATTTAATTCCCAAAGTGAGTAGTCTCACCTAAATATTTGGACAAGGACATTTTTAGACACTGCTAATAAACAACACTGTCAAAGAAGTTTAAGCAGTTTTCCAGTTAGACTTGGAAACTCCTCTAACCTACCTCTGACCACGGCACAGGAGTCCAACTGGACAAACAGCTTTCACAACCCTAAAAATAGTGAGTCTTCATAAATTTCTGAAACTTTCCTTCCTCTCTGGACAGCCCTTGGTCTCTAGCTGTAAAACCTGGCCCATTTTGGTACACTTACATGTTGGTTTTACGTTACTAAAAGTCCTATAGATCGCTCAGATCTTGGGTCTTCTTACTGATGCTTAAACACAAGTTGAGAAACGCGCTCACAAGGTAGATGGTAGTTTACACGCAGCCAGAAACTGACAGGAAAACTTAAGTACCCAGAGGACGAAGGTACTCCAAAGCACCATGAGAGCTGAACTCAGCTCCTAAATTGCATGGTCCCAGCTGCAGGAATAGCTGCTTTGAGTCGCCACAGTTCCTTGCAGCAACACTTCTACTTCTGTTACAGTAACAAACAGCCACCAGTGAGATCTACACATATACAGAATTATTATATTTAAATTCATATGGAATAATATTTACATGTTAATTAAGTTATATGTATGAAATTAAGAAAAGTCCAGGTGATGGTTTACAAACAAACAGAAGAAAAATATACAAGATAGGAAGAGAGCCAACGGGAAACGCCAGTATCTGGCCCTGCCACAGCAAGCAGGGACTTCACAGAAAAATATACAAGACAGGAGGAGAGCCAACAGTAAATGCCACTATCTGGCCCTGCCACAGCAAGCAGGGACTCCACAGAAAGCTACATCTTCTTAATCTGATTGTCCAAGTCATCAAAGTATGGGTGCTTCAGGGCCATTTTGCCAGAGATTCGTTTGGCAGGATCATAGACTAGCATTTTCTGGAGAGAAAAAGAAAAAATAAACTTAGAAGATGAGCCCTTTAAAAATCCCATAAGCCATAGCTGCTTCCAGCACTGAGTCATGTTTCATGTTTGTAATCTCAGTGAGTGCCTGCTTAGGGGGAACTTAACTTCACCAGCTCACTACCAAGCTGGCCTTCTTACACCTCCAAGATGCTCAACTCACAGATCTCTGTCATAAATTATATGATTATTAACAGGTAGCTTCTGTCATAAATTATAAGATAAGCACTCAGACAGCTTTAAAACCAAAACATAAATTTACAGATTACCTAATTATATCTACCTTGACAATTACATGTTCATCTGTTATTTACAACATTCCTGAAAAGGTAGTAATCAACTATTGTGTTTCATGATAAGTGTCCAAAGAACACTTGCCCAAACCAAAGGAAAACACCACAATGTGTTTTTATAAACACAGCTACAATAGATGAATTATTTACAGTAAACCAATTTATATACTCCAGAGGAAATATTTGATCTTAATTTTTTCATACATATTATCATCAGAGAAAATTAAATCAATAACAGACTAAAAGCCCATCCTACCCCGACCAACAGGGCCTTCAACTACAGTGTAGTGAAGGATGACCTTGAAACTCCTGATACTCCTGCTTCTACCTCCCAAATGGTGTGATTATAAGCAGGCGCCACAGATCAATCCCAAGGCGTCATGTATGCTGGGCATGACACTGGCGGGGGCTACACCTTCAGGCCCTACAGACACTTGCTAACTAGTTACCAATTAAACTCATGTATTCATTCAGAATTGTATGAAGGCTTTGAGAACATGTCAGTTAATCCTCACAGCAAAAGGGAGAGATATGCTCTACTCCCCAGATTAAGACACATCTCTTCAGGACATTAAGAAACTTGCCCACATCCGTAAACGTGGGGAAAAATAAACTGAAATCTGAAGCCAAGTCCAACCAGTAATCTAGTTTCCACCTGTGGGAAATCTTGCTTCTCGGGAGCCTGCTAAGGACACAGACATTGCTGACTGTAGCACAACAGTCTTCTGATAGAGTGCAGAGGACAATGACACTGCACAATGTCCAACAACTGACAGGACCACAGCAAGAATTAGCTAGCTCAGGGTGACAGCTCAACTGAGAAAATCGGTGTACAGAATTGGCTTTTGTTAAGTGAAGTTAAATTTTTATGTTCAAAGACTTGAGAGCTAAGGATATATAGCCCAGCAGAGTCCACGGTCAACCCCCATGGAAACCCTACCTCCCATCCATGACCCCCCAAAACCATTAAACAAACAGGAGCTAGGAACTTAGGCATGACCAGCAGGTTGGGCCCAGGATATAGAAATATTTCTAAGTTAACCAACAATACTAATAAGCAAAATGTGTAAAGGCTGGAACCTGGATAAATCTGCGGCACAATTCATAGACTGTAACAGAGCTAAAAGACCAAGTGGAGCACGGATCTGATTCCTACTATGAATTAATATTTAAATACCGCTCTACCTACAACAAATTCCCTAAAATAGACCTTCAACAGTAATTTTGTTCTTTGCATCATTATTTAAGGAAAATAACTAACTGGGTGCAGCAATGTAACAGAAAAAAATGTTACAGTAGTCTTTCCGAGTCTTTCTTAGGCCAGTCCTGAGAAATGGCATTTACGCTATAAAAAGCCCGAATAACTCTAATTATCAAGTAGTTATCAACCGAGTACAGTATGATAAACACACAAAACAGCCAGAAAGGAGTCATTCTGATTCAGCAACACACTCTCAATTAAAATGGTGTGTGAGTGTGAGCCCTGGCCCCTGCTACAGTGTATCTACTGCAGCCTACAGAAGAAGTGAGAAAGTCTACCACAGAAGATTACTCAGGACCACCAGCACTTCCTAGCTCAAAAGGCAGCTGTCACTACAGGCACCTAACACCAGCCACATCTAACTCCAGGACTGAGGATGTCCTGTCACTATGAACGTGCAAGTGTAACACGCAAACCATAAAGCACAGTGGGCTTACTGAGAGCAAATCCAAGCCGTTTTCATCCAGGTTCTTAACATGGGATGCGAGGCTCCCTGGCTTCCACTTGGGAAACGTGTTCTTGTAGTCCTGCAGAGACTCTACTTCTGGCCACACTTCATTGTTAGGAGTCCCCAGAGCTCTGGAAGAAGCAATATGCTATCACATACACAGTGCCTTTATTATTTAACCTTACAAGCTTTTAATAGCTTAGGCATAAAATGCAATTACCTGAAAATCCTGAAGAGCTGGTCAATCTCTGAATCGCCATGGAAAAGTGGCTTCTTAGTAGCCAGCTCTGCAAATATGGTGCCTATACTCCAGATGTCAACAGGGGTGGAGTAACGAGCTGATCCCAGCAACACTTCTGGAGATCGGTACCACAGTGTCACTACCTGGTACAAGACAGAACACAACATAGACACAGCTGCTTCACTGGTCTGTCTTTCAGAAAGCTGTGCAGGCCTCACCAAGAGCTTAGGTCAATTAAATATATACAATAAACTTCCTGCTTTTCAAATCATTAAAGAAGAAAGATCAAAGTAGCTACAGTCTGGCTAGGTTTAGTGGCATACACCTCTAATCCCAGCACTCTGAAGGCAGAGGCAGGCAGATCTTTGTGAGTTCAAGGCCAGCCTGGTCTACAAAAGGAGTTCAAGGCTAGCCAGAGCTACATAGTGAAACCCTATAGTCTGGAAACCAAACAACAAAATAGTTACCACCTGATTATGTCCCCAAAAAAACTTAAGACAGAAAAAGAACTAATAAATAATACACGGTTTAGGAATAGTACTGTACAAGTGCAGGTTTTATTTATATGTTAACAGGGGCAGTCAAAATTAACATTCATAAGACATGCATGACAAAAAAAACCCCAATTGATTAATGATTTAGAACTAATCAATCTTAGTAGTATATTCATCAAAATAGTGATGCTATGACCTCTAAGAACGCTAATGGGGTCAACAACAGTTCCAGCCATCAAAGAAAATGCATGGAACTGTGTAAAATAAAAGGAATAAGGTAGGGTTGAGAAGGCAGTCAGTGGAGAACTTGCCTGAACATTCATGACCTCCGCACCCAAGAGGCAGAGGCAGGCATCATCAACAGCTACCCAGAGGATTTGAGGCCAGCCAGGGCTACAAGAAGCCCTCCCTCAAAAACCAAAAGAAACGAGGAAAATAGACAAGAGTTCGCCTGATGCTATGGACTCCAGGTTCATAACTCCCCAAATGTTCTTGCAATTTACAAGTCAATGCCCTTTCACAAACACCAGCAGAACCTAGTCTGACGATGCAGACTACAATCCCAGCTCCCGGAAAGTACAAAGCCTATCTGGCCCAGTGACTTCAAGATCAGGCAGGGCAATTTAGTAAGACCTTTTCCAAAATAAGAAAGAGGTAAAAACACAGTTCAGGTGTAGAACACTTGCCTGATATGTGTGAAGCCCTAGGTTCAAGGCCCACTACAGAGGAAAACAAAACAACCAAATGAAATGCCAAGCATCAACAGAATACCAACAAAGCTTGATGACGGACCATGGGGGCAGCTCAGTAAGGACTGGAGCTCAATCCCTAGCACTCCTTCCCTCAACTACAGTTACTGGCTCCTAAATCTATCAGAACAATATAGACCTCAGACAGCAAAACCTGCTTTTTAGTTGATCTGAATGACCATAGCAGGGTCCAATCAAGAGGAACCACAGCTCTGGGAAAGATTGATATAAAGAAGTAAGAATTCGTCGGGGGTTGGTGGCGCACGCCTTTAATCCCAGCACTCGGGAGGCAGAGGCAAGCGGATCTCTGTGAGTTCAAGGCCAGCCTGGTATACAAAGTGAGTTCCAGGACAGCCTCCAAAGCTACAGAGAAACCCTGTCTCGAAAAAAAAACCCAAAAAAAAAAGAATTCCAAAAGCTACAGTAAACCCCTTCTGCAAGGCCTCTTCAGGAATCTCCCCTGACGAAAGATGTCAAAAGTTCCAGCTCCACTTTCAGAGTAAAAAAATATATAGTTCACATATAATCAAGAGTGACTGCAGAGACAAGAAGCAATGAACTGATACTACCAGAGCAGAATCTTTTTTCAAGATGGGTATTTCTTTCTTGGTATAAAGACTGTAGGTCAAGATGGGTATTTCTTTCTTGGTATAAAGACTGTAGGCAGCAATCCAGCTTACCTCGTGTGTGTACACTCTAATCGGTATTCCAAAAGCTCTGGCAAGGCCAAAATCAGCCAGTTTGATTGTTCCTTTGTCATCGATTAATAGATTTTGAGGTTTCAAGTCTCTGTGAAGAACTCTTCGTGAGTGACAAAACACAATCCCCTGGAGGATTTGGTATAGGTAACTCTAGAAAAAAAAAAGCCAGAAACTTAATCATGCTACAAGACTCTGAAATGAAATGACCACTGTTTCTATCAAAAGAACTTTCAGGCCCCGTTAGACTAACATAGACTTGTGGGCAGGAAACCTGTTTACATATAGTATATGTGTACAGAAGGATGTATCTATACCCACGTGAGCATTTAAAATTTTGGTCCCCTATCTTTAGGTCACAAGTTAGCTTCCTATGAAGAAGTTTCCTCGACACGTTCACAACAAGTGCTTTTTCTTGAATAAAGTTGATTTTTCATTTCTCTCACTTTACACACACTTCTCTTTGGAGACATTAGACTGACTTTAAGTTTGAAATGAGAAAAATGTATAACAGATAATACTGAAGTTCAATCATAACCTAATTCTCATGTGTGTGGACACACACACACACCCATGCAGCTATCAGGGCAGAGGTGGAAGTCAAGTGTCTTAAGTTTTTGAGGTAGCATCTCATTAAACCTGAGTTCGTCATTTTGGCCAAACTGGCTAGGCAGTAAATTCCTGGGACACACACCTTTCTCCTCTGACCTCAGGCTCTGGGATTATAAAAGTACACACTACCACACCTGACTCATAGATGCTGGGAACCAGAACTCAAGTCCCCATGCTTACAACATAAGTATTTTCCCTCTTGAGTTGTCCCCAGACCTTACAATCTAGTTCTGAAAACAAAAGTAATATTTGTGCTACAAACCAAACAAAAGCAACAAATAACAAGAACAAGTTGGGGAAGGGGAACAGAAAAACATTGGCATTATTCTAATATATATGATCTAATACGTTACAATAAAGCAAAGTCCAAACATCATTAAGAATACTGTGCTGGGTGGTTTTATTTCAACAACACAGGCTAGGCTGGAGAAGGAGCTTCAATTGAGAAAATTCCTTCATGAGATCGAGCTGTAGGCAAGCCTGTAGGGTATTTTCCTGATTAATGATTGGTCATTGTAGTGCCATCCCTGAGTTAGCATATATGGTTCTTTGGTTCTGTAAGAAAGTAGGCTGGGCAAGCCATGAGAAACAAGCCAGTTAGCAGCACTCCTCCATGGTGTCTGCATCAGCTCCTGACTTCAGGTTTCTGCCCTGTTTTAAGTTCTTATCCTGACTTCCTTCAGTGATGAACTGTGGGCAAAATAAACCCTTTCCTCTCCAAGTTGCTTTGGTCATGGTGTTTCATCACAACAGCAGTAACCCTAAGACATACACAATACAAAAACATTGGCAATGGTGGGTACCACTACAAATCAAAGTGGGAAAAAAAGGCAATAAAAGGAACTATCAACTCTTGTTACTAAAAAGACCTTTGAAATCACTGAACAATATCTTAATATAGAAAGATCAGTGAATATGTACAGGCTATCTCTATATCATGTTAAATATCAAATAAAATAATTGTAATAACTGTGATTTAACTTAAATACAATGTTTACATTAACCAAAATATATTTTTCATAGAGAAAGTCCTCCCACCAAGCATCAGCCATAGTACATTTTGTCTCCAGCAATTTAACACATAGTCCACAGTGTGGCGCTTATGTCAGATACTACTTTTCACTTCCTAGAACTGTCATTAAGATGGGCAAATAACCTCATCTGTGTGGAAAGAAAATAAAACCCTCTCTACTTCTATATTCTTACAGATTTTCCAACATTCACCCACAAAACAAGGATAAGCACTACATTCAGAGTACATAAGTATTAATATAAATATGTAAACCCTTACCTTAACGAGTGAAGAATCCATGAACTGACCAGGAGGGATAGAATCCAAGTACTTCTTGAGATCCATGGACAGGAATTCAAAAATTAGATACAACCTAGAGTCCTGCATGAGCACATCCTGAAGACTGAAGAGGAAACAGTGCATGAGAGTTCGGCAATACCTCTGCCTCAAACCTTTGCCCAGTACAACTGCTCCTGAGAGCTTCGATTAGCAGAAGCTTCTCATCAACTACCTTCACACTGCAGACCTGAGGGAGGCCTGCCTTTCAGGACTGTAATTTATGTATTCCCATACAGTTCGTCTTTGTTCCTCAGCTTAATTTTATTGAAGTAAATTAATTATGGACATTAAAGAATAACCTAATTTTAACAGCTGCTCCCAATTGCTCCTAGCCCCAGAGTAATAGAACCTAGGCCACTGGTAGAGAGGCCTGTCACCCCTTCTGACACAGAGGCAGAAGCCAGGAGGTTAAGACAGAGAATCTTTACATTCAAAGGCTGCCTGGGTTAGAGTGAGTTTAAAGCCAACCTAGGTAATTTTGTACAATCCTGTCTCAAAACAACTTATAGAAGGCTGGGTGCGGTGATTTAACTATGGTCCAGGCACTTGTGAGGTTGTTACAGAACAGCAGTAAATTCCAGGTCAGTCTGAGTTAGAGTCCTGTCTCAAAAATTCAAAACCCAGGATTGGATATGGCTCAGCAGTTAAGAACACTAGATACTCTTCTGGAGGACCCAGGTTCAATTCCCAGCACCCACATGGCAGTTCACACCTGTCTGTGACCCCAGTTCCAAAGGATCTGACACCCTCACACAGACATATATGCAAGCAAAACACCAACCAATGTTCGTAAAAATAAAATTCAAAACCCAAAACTTAGGCTGGCCTGGGATACAGCTCAGTGGTAGAGCATTATCTTAGCATGCCCAAAGCCCTAGGTTCAGTACCAAGCACCACTAGAAATTCTAATGAGCCACTCACTAGACAATGTCCTCAAAGACCCAGCCCAAAGGAGTCAATAAAAAATTAAAACATTTTCCCCACTCCAACCTAGCTACTTTCCTAAAGGGCTTTTGGGGGCCTGGGCTCTGAAAGCTGGGGATGACAAAACTCCTTACAGAAGGCTTCTTTCCTCCCATAGCTCCCATGCCTGTTGCCTGTTCCTCCAGTCAACACTAATTCTCAGCACCATGTCTGGAAGTCTTTGAACAGGTTATTCTCTTTATCTCCTCCTAGCATCACAGTCAACAAAAATAAACAGGACTCTATCTCACTGTACCCAGAAACTAGGCAAACATAAAAATGTCCACATTAAAATTGATCTCAAGTAGCATGAGGAGTATTGTTTCAATTCAGACATAGCACACCTGACTATATTTGGATGGCGAAGTTCTTTTAATAGAGAAATTTCCCGGATCGCAGTACTGGGTACTCCTTCTTCCTCACTTTCAAGTCTGATTTTCTTCATGGCCACTATCTGGCCAGTAGTCCTGTGTCTACCCTTATACACCACACCATAAGTACCTGAAATGAAACAAAGATTTTTAAGTGAACCCTAAAGGTGTCACATGATAGATGTGCCTGCTGTGGCCAGACAGGAGGTAACCTCACATACACTTAAACTCTCACTACTTCCAAAAGGAAACTGAAGGTAACTACAACCTAACATACACATGGTTTAGGTCTAAAATTCATGGAGTCACCCAAGTCTCCCACAGTTAAGCTTCCTTCATGAGCCAGTATACAAGTTGAAATTCACCTGTCAAATATCCTGCATGCAATTAAAACACTATGTAAACTGAAGCTGGGAAAACAGTACCAAGTGGAGGCTCTTGGACACTTTCAGGACTTATGCTTTCTCTACTTTTACACATCCCAAAATGTAGTCAACAGTCCTCAGCCAGCAGAGTAGAGACTAATACCACACATTTTTATCAAGTCCAATAAAGCTGCTATTGCTACAGTAGGAAGCCTCCCTCCCATTGGGAATGTTGAAAACACTAACATGAGTGTCACATGAACAGCAATGGCAGTAAGAAAAGACAGTGGGCTGTGGCAGTCACAGCAACATGGACTAATTACCTCACCTGTGATGTATATACTTCTCCAGATGTTACAGGTATCTTTTAAACTCAGGGTCCAGTTTAAAGAGGTACTAAAATCCCTAGCTATATATAAACTTTGTTAAACAGCTTTTCATGACTTCAGAAAAGACTAGAACACCAGGCCTGATGACACACAGCTGTGATCATAGCTATTCAAAAGGCTAAGGCAGGAAAATTCCAAGTCAGATGCAAGCCTGGACAATTTGGTGAAACCTATCCCAAAACACAAAAATTTCAGCATGGTGTACATGTCTGTAATCCTATCACTTAGGAAGAGGAGGCAAGGTTAGACACTGTGTAAAAAACTCAAAGGATTAGAGCAGCCATTGCTTTTACTGGCTGTAAGAATCTGTCCCAATGATCAACTGTTTAGAATATTAAGCAGCTTGCTCAGCACAAGCTAAAATGTTCACATAAGCTTTGTTCTAGCATTTTTTTTAATTACAGGAGTTTGTTTTCCTAAACAATTCAGTCATTTTAATGATATTATTTCAAATAAAATCTTTACTATTTTGATCAAATGCGAGGTGACTCTGAATAACCAAAATATCCCATATAAAAAGGACTACATTCTGTCTGTGAAGTCATGGGAAATCTATGCACTCACAGGTTCCTATAGGGTGGATATCTGGCTTGTATGAAGCACACAGTCACTAAGCCATTAGCAGGAGGACACTGAACAGTCTCAATTAGCAAGGTATATAGCAATCCAATAAAAAATGATTAATTCTGAATTCCTACAGCATTTTCTGTTTGTTTCCTCCTAGTGGACTACTACATTCCTTGAATAAAGTGCAGAACTCAGTAAACATTGACTTAGACAACACAGAACTGTCTTGAGTGTCTCAACTCCTGGCTGTTCTCAATGAATATCTGATTAGGGCTACACAAAGCATAACCACCTTACTTGTTAATCACTGAACACTATTCATGAAATAACCAGTAGATGCTCAGAAATTCATTCATGTTTTAGATAAAGTAGTTTAAATCATTAAATAATTGGGGGGTATCAAACAAGGTTGGAGAGATGTCAAATGATTTCAACAAGACGGTTTTTAAGCACAGACTACACAGAACCCAAGACAGCCAGGCACAGTAGAACAGATAAGCCTCTAGGCTAGAGAAGAGTTCAGGAAAGCAGGTGAAGGTGCTCCAGCACCTGAGCAGCTCCTGTGAGAGACATCGGGCCCTAGCCTTCGTGGAGCCTAAACCTGGAGCAACTCAAAGGAATACGGAGGCTGACACAAAGGAAATGGCCAAATCCCTTCCCTTCAACCAGAGCAGAGGTTCTTATATGTGGGTCCAGACCCCTTTGGGAATTGAACTGCCCTTTCACCTAAGACTATCAGAAAACAGGTATTTTTACATTACAGTTCATAACGGTAGCAAAATTAGTCATGAAATATCAACAAAAACAACTTTATGCTGGGGGGGGACACCACAACATGACGAACTATACTAAAGGTTCCCAACATCAGGAAGACTGACAGTCACCGAACTACATAGAACAAGTTGAAAAGTGAAGCCAGCATTGGATGGTTTTACAAAGTCCTATCTGAAGGGATCAAAGGAATGCAACTGGAGAGGTGGGTGGCGGCAGGGGAGGCTACCATGGAAGGAGACAGTTGTGGAGATGATGGTCACATTGCAACAGAAAACCCAGACTCCCAACTGACACTACCTGGACCGCTCCTGGCTTACTAAAGTCCCTGCCTTGGTTTTAATCCCCTGGGTAAGTGGGGTCTCTGAACAGAGATGAAAATGAAAAGTCCTCAACAGAACCCACATAGAAACAAGCTCCACCGTTTGCTCCTGGAGAGCTAAGAATGACGTCTTGACTCCTAGGTAGAAATATGGAAATTCTGTTGCAGGGAGAGAAAAAAAAGAAGAAATAGGAAAGGGTTATTTTCATTCCTCATTTGTGCCACATGGGCCTAAACATTGTTCAAAATACTACAGAAAGGAATTGAACAACACATGAAAGCCACTAAGTTTAGTCATTCTTGCCTGTGGTAACCCCATAGAAAATCATTCACCTTAGCTTGTCAATTACTGCACCCAGTTTATATAATGGAATCTGGTATTTAGAATTAATTGAATAAGACTAAAAATGTAATGTGAAATTAGTATAATTCTACTTCCCTATCCTACTCCCCCAAATACAAGTTATCAGTAGTGTTTCTGAAACACACGAATCTGGTGTGCTCAGTACCAGAAGTGAGATAAGCTCAGTAGTGTGTGAGGTCCTATGGTCATTAGCAAAGAAGAATCCGAATAATTTAAATTCTTTTGAACAAGAGTTGTAAGTGAAGCATGTCTTACTGTTCCTGTGATAAGCACCCACACAATAGCAACCTACAGAAGGATTTATTTGGCCTCAGAATCTGGGTCACAGTCCAGCAGGAGCACAAGGCAGCTGAGAGGGAAGCTTCCTGCACTGGGCTCCCTCTCTCCACGTACAGTCCAGGATCTCAGCCAGGGAACGGTGCCCACAATGGGAGAAGGGTCTTGCCTACAGGAGTGCTCAGGGTGACTCCAGATTCTGTCAAAGTGACCACTAACACCAACTGTAACAGTGCACTAATCCACCTAAGTACAAATACACTAATGATTACAATCAATCAATGTCTTTGTGTTACACAGTAGCACTGTTGAATTATCTTTAAAAACTGTATACTAAAACTACTCACCTTCTCCAATTTTCTCTATTTTGATATAGTCTTCCATAGTTACTCAACAGGTTATGATAGACCCTAAAACAAGGGAAAACAATAGTGTGATTACATGCCACTAATTGATCAATAAGATATCGCATACAAAGAGTGTTTTCCGGCCGGGCGTTGGTGACGCACGCCTTTAATCCCAGCACTTGGGAGGCAGAGGCAGGCGGATCTCTGTGAGTTCGAGGCCAGCCTGGTCTACAAAGCGAGTTCCAGAACAGCCTCCAAAACAATACAGAGAAACCCTGCCTCGAAAAAAAACAAAACAAAGAGTGTTTTCCACAGTGCCTTCTGCATGGCCCACAAATAACAATTGTTATATCAAAACGGTATTACCAGGGTTATTTACTCTTGCAGTAGCTTTCTAAGCCTTCTCATCTCCCAAGACATTGCATTTGCATACTCCATACAGCATAGTACTTAGTCTCTTGGAATTCCACAAATAAAGCAGGCCTTGGTTTTTTTTTTGTTGTTGTTGTTTTGTTTTTGATTTTTGAGGCAGGGTTTCTCCGAGGCTTTTGGAGGCTGTCCTGGAACTAGCTCTTGTAGACCAGGCTGGCCTCGAACTCACAGAGATCCATAAAGCAGGCCTTGTTAAGGAAGGCCTGTCATCCCAGCTGCTGAGGAGGCTGACACAGAAGGATTAAAAGTTCAAGGCTAGAACAACATAGTGACACTATGTCTCAAAATAAAAAATAAAAAAATGCATAAGGTTTTAGGTTTGATTCCTAGGACTAAAAGTTTAAAAAAAAAAAGGATAATTTTAATGCCAGTACATGCTAATTCTACCCAACCATTTCAAGACACACTGCTACTGTACTAAATTTGTACTGTTTTAGTTTTCTGAAAATCCTAAGAATGAGAAGGAAATCACACAGGATGCAGTCCACGCAGTCCTAGCACAAGGGACACTGAAGCAGAAGAGCAAGTTCAAGGCCACCCTGTGGCCTAGTTAACTGCAACACTGTCTCAAGGAAATGAAGGAAGCACCACCTTAAAGTACAACCACTAGAAATAACATTTGTTTACTACAAAAAACATTTTAAAGCATCCAATTCACTGGAGTAACAGGAATGCTCAGCCACTCAAGTGAATTGAATGCCTTCAAAAGCAGCCACAGACAACCCCACTCAAGACACTCAAAGGGAAATGTCAATAAGCATGGTAGAACTGTGTAAGGTACTGGGCTGACACCAGCTAAAGTCATCTGGGAGGAGGGAACCTCAATTTAGAAAATGCCTCCATAAGATGGGGACTGCAGACAAGCTTGTAGAGCATGTTCTCGACTGATGGGGAGGGCCGGAACCATCGTGGGTGGTGCCATCCCTGGGCATCCCATGGTCCTGGATTCTATAAGCAGGCTGAGCAAGCCACTAGAAAAAAGCTTGCCCTTAGCACTCCTCCATGATCTCTCAACCCCCTGCCTCCAGGTTCCTGCCCTATTTGAATTCCTGTCCTGATTTCCTGTGAGGATGAGCTGTGACAGGGAAAGGGAAGTCAAGTAAACCCTCTCCTCCTTTGGTCATGGTGTCTCATGTGTGGGTGGCCAGATGCACAAAATTCTAACCACACTTGCAAAGTGTCACGAAAAACATCCTTGCCTCACACAGAATGGTGGAAAAAAGCTAAGTATCTTCTGCCGTGAAAGCCCTTCGCCCCGGATCAGATCTTTACCAAGGTCACATAATAGCTGACATTTCTTGAATTCTGTTCCTGACAAATTCCTTGCCAAAGTAAAATGAACCCCATGAAGTATGGTGACACAGCCTGGAATCCCAGCTCTCACGTCTACACACACAGGCAGTGGCTCAAAAAAAAACTCAATTATGCGTATCTTTTATGAAATTACAATGGACATCTAGAAAAATCCTTTTCCTTCAATAGGCATACGTAATATAACCATAGTACATTGCAACTTTTCAGCCCCCTTAGTACATCCAGCCAAGAGTTAAGGCGTCTTCAAAGATGGGCTCATTTCCCTCCAACATTTTCCAGTCTCCCGGGGCTGGTGCCATTAGCTGCCCAGAGCTAATCTCTCCAGCCCAGACCTCCCACTTTTCGGGGGATGGTGGTGCGCACACCAGAAACTTCAGTAGCAGCTAGTTCTTTTAAAGAAGGACGGATGTTAAAGCATCAGTGTTTCTACCTCTCAGCATTTCTTAGCCTGGGTACCGTCTGTGGCTGTCTCCAAGCACAGACAACTAAAACTAAGGGACGATCCTCCTTGGTTCTGAACCTTCACAGTCATGCTTTTAAACGACCACGGAGCAGTTTCTCCCGCAGGACCCACCGAGGAGAGCCTCCGAGGGGAGATGGCGCGGCGCAGCCTAGCTCTGCAGAGGCCAGCCAACGGGGCCTAGGACACAGCTAGGCACCCAGCCCACACCCGGGGCTCCAGGGAGGCCCTGCGGGGCTGCAGGAACCCGGGGCTCGGGTGAGGCCCTGCACGCCGCAGGGACTCCGAGCTCTAGTGAGGCGCTGCCCCTCCACAGAGGACCCCGGGCTCCGGTGAGGCCCTGCGCGTCCACACGGGGACCCCCCGGGCTCCGGTGAGGCCCTGCCGGTCCACACGAGGACCCCCGGGCTCCGGTGAGGCCCTGCCCGTCCACAGGGGACCCTGGGGTCACACGATGCCCTGCCCGTCTACATGGGGGTACCCCGGGCTCACGTGGAGGCCCCGCAGGCCCTGCCCGCACCCGGCCCTCCTCACGCCATACCTCTCTGGTTCCCGCGGCGGCCACTCCGCAGTTCCGGACTGCGCGGACGCAGCGACTCCGGGAGCTCAGAGGCCGAGTGCCAGCAGTTTCAAACTCACCGCGATAAAGCGCCCGGGATCCACCAATCAGGTTACCCGTAGACGTTCAAAGGAGCCAATCATAGCCGAGCTACGGTGGGGCGGAGCTGCCTGAGAGACCAGAGCGCGAAAGGGAGCGGAAACCGCGGCTGGAGGAAAAGCAGTGGGGCGGGCGCCAACTGACTCTGAGCTCTGTTTTCCTTCCAGGGTCGTCCTCCTGTTTCTAGACAGTCTGATCTAATTTTCTCTCTCCCTCTTTCTCTCTCTTTTGTAACTTCCCTCCAGGAGTAACACAACTCAAATACATTGAGTTGAAATAGCTAGCCACAAAAGTGATATTGCCATGATATAGAATCTCTTACCGCTAACATTTAAAATTACTTTGCGATTATGCTTTTCAAAAATATATATTAAGCTGAGCATGGTGGCACATGTCTTTAAACCCAGCTCTTGGGAGGCAAAGGCAGGCAGACCTCTTGAGTTCAAAGCCAACCTGGCCTACAGAGCAAGTTCTGAGACAACCAAGGCTACACAGAGAAACTGTTTTGAGAAAAACAAAAAGTGTGTGTGTGTGTGTGTATAATATTAAGTTTCATTATGAAATTTCCAGACAACATTGGTCTTTGTTAATTCTCAACCCTTCTCCCTGTACTCCTAGTCCCCTCACCATGTAACCCCACCCCATCCAACCCCCAGCTTCCTATGTCACTTGGCCCTGTTGCCAGCCCCACAGGAAAAAGGCTTATACACACACTTACATATGAGTATGATATGTGGAAAAAGGCTTATACACACACATATGAATATGATATGCTAGGATCTGCATATGAGAACATGCAGTCTCTCTCTCTCTGTGTGTGTGTGTGTGTGTGTGTGTGTGTGTGTGTGTGTGTGTGTGTGTGTGTGTACTCTCTTGATGTATTTTCCAGCTCCATCCATGTTCCTACAGATCTCATTGATTATGGTTTTTCTGGCCAGCAGAAGGATCTCGTTTAAAGTACCTTGACAAGATAATCAAAAGGGAGATAAGGAAACACTGAATGATGCCCTCAAAAATGAAAGGAAAAATGCCTGTCTCTATGATTTCATTCAACTGTGCCCATGATTCCCTTTTATACTGTGTATAAAATGTTAGAATAGTAAACTTTTTAAAATATCTCCCCACAATAATTTTAAATATTCCTTAAGAAGCAAAACTTCACAATCCTATGGACAAACAAAAAGACATCTATTTTATATGCTCTAACTCAGTATCAAAAGCCCCAACTCATCACCACACTCCAACAGCATGCCTCAAAGAGACTGTGCTCCACCCTGGAAAGATCCTCTTCTTGTTTTTTTTTTTTTTTCCCCTTTTTGTTTTGTTCTGCATAACAGCCCTGGCTGCCCCGGAACTCGATCTGTAGACCAGACACTGGCCTGGAACTCGCAGAGATCCCCCTGCCTCTGAGTGCTGGGATCAAAGGCATGGGCCACCACCACGCCTGGCTGTCCATGCCTGGCTGAAAAGAGTCTTAATTCCTCAAGAAAAGCAGCGTGATGTGGGCCTGGAGAGATGGCTCAGCAGCTAAGAGCATTTTGATCGTCTTTTTCCTCTTCCCCAATTCCTACAGGATCATTGATAACTCCTTATTCCACTTTTATGCTAGGCTTCTCTCCCTCTCCCAAAACAACAAAGCAAAACAAAACAAAAACAAACAAACAAACAAGCAAAAGACTAATAAGGAAAAAAAAGGACAAAACAAAGCAGAATGAAACAAAAGTGCACTAAAATACCACTGAGTTCATTTTGTGTAGGCCAGCTACTCCTGACTGAAAGCTAGTTGATAAACCCACCAATACTCCATTAGAGAAAACTGATTTTCCCTTTGCCATTAGGATCAATTGCAGATAGCTTTTTTTTTTTTTTTTTTTTTTTTTTTGGTTTTTACGAGACAGGGTTTCTCTGTATTGTTTTGGAGGCTGTCGGTCCAGCCTGGCCTCGAACTCATAGCGATCCGCCTGCCTCTGCCTCCCAAGTGCTGGGATTAAAGGCATGCGCCACCACCGCCCGGCGCAGATAGCTTTTTGGTGAGGAGTGGGAGCCCCTGTCTCCTTACCTCTTTCAACGATAGGTCATCTGGCTTGCCTACATGCAGGCCCTGTGTGTGTGGCCACAGTCTCTGTGAGTTCCTGTGTGTGTCAGTCCTGCAGTGTCTCAAGGCCCTGTGTGCGGCCACAGTCTCTGTGAGTTCATGTGTGTGTCAGTCCTGCAGTGTCTCAAGGCCCTGTGTGTGCAGCCACAGTCTCTGTGAGTTCATGTGTGTGTCAGTCCTGCAGTGTCTCAAGGCCCTGTGTGTGCAGCCACAGTCTCTGTGAGTTCATGTGTGTGTCAGTCCTGCAGTGTCTCAAGGCCCTGTGTGTGCGGCCACAGTCTCTGTGAGTTCATGTGTGTGTCAGTCCTGCAGTGTCTCAAGGCCCTGTGTGTGCGGCCACAGTCTCTGTGAGTTCATGTGTGTGTCAGTCCTGCAGTGTCTCAAGGCCCTGTGTGTGCGGCCACAGTCTCTGTGAGTTCATGTGTGTCAGTCCTGCAGTGTCTCAAGGGCACAGTTCCCTTGGAGTCAGTCATCCATAACCTCTAGCTCTTACAACTTTCCTGCCTCCTTTTACACCCAGATCCCTTAGCCTTGAGGTTAGAAGTCTGACGAAAGCATCCCCTTTAGGACCAAGTGGCTCCAAAGTCTCTCACTACAGGCACGTTGTCCAATTATGAGTCCCTGTGTTAATTCACTTCTAGTGCAAGAAGCTCCTCTGCTGTGGATTAAGCTAGGCACCAATCTATGGGTATAGCAGTCTGTCATTAGCAGCCATTTTATCGCTGTGTTCCTTTAGCAGAATGATAGTATTTGATTTTCCCGTAGGTCCATGACCTATCTAGCCTCAGGTTCTTGGCTATTTTAGCAGTGTCAGGTTCAATCTCATGGAGTGGACTCTAAATCCAATCACAATATGGTTGATTAATTCCATAACATTTGTGCCAATATTGCATCCGTGTATCTTACAGGGGGTTTACTGTTGTAGGTCACAGGGTTTGTAGCTGGGTGATACTATGTGCATTTTAAAAAGTTAGTACTGGGGGTTGGAGAGATGGCTCGATAGTTAAGATCATTTATAGCGCCGGGCGTTGGTGGCGCACGCCGTTAATCCCAGCACTCGGGAGGCAGAGGCAGGCAGATCTCTGTGAGTTCGAGGTCAGCCTGGTCTACAAAGTGAGTTCCAGGACAGCCTCCAAAGCCACAGAGAAACCCTGTCTCGAAAAAACCAAAAAAAAAAAAAAAAGATCATTTATAGCTCTTGCAGGTGACGCAGATTTGATTCTCCCATATAGAGATTTACAACCATCTGTAACTCCAGTTCCTGGAGGTCTAGGGTCCTCTTCTGACTACTAGGGAACCAGGCATTACACAGTGTATGTACTTATAGGCAAAGCAATGATACAATGATACACTTAAAATAAAAGTAAACAAGTCTTTGTAAAATAAACAACTTTTTATGTGAAAAAGCAAATACTATAGAAGTGTCTTAGTTGGGGCTTCTATTGCTGTGATGAAATACCATAACCAAAAGCAAGTTGAGGAGGGAAGGGTTTATTTGACTCATACTTCCTCATGGTAGTCCAACAGAGAAGGAAGTTGTGACAGGAGCTCAAACAAAACAGGAACCTGGAGGCAGGAGCTGAGGCAGAGGTCATGGAGGGATGCTGTTCACTGGCTTGCTCTCCATGGACTGCTCAGCCTGCTTTCTTAGGTAATTCTGGACCATTAGCCCAAGGATACTACTACTGGCAATGGTCTGGGTCCTTCCACACCGATAACTAATTAATAAAATGCCCTACAGCTAGATATTATGGAGGCATTTTCATCATTGAGGTGCCCTCCTCTCAGATGACTCTATCTTGTATCAAGTGGACACAAAACGAGCCAGCACAAGCTATCACTCTGGTAGAGCACTTGCCCAATATTCATAAGGCCCCAGTTGATCCCCAGCACTACAAGAAGAAAATAAGATTTAATAACACCTTTTATACAAGGAGGTGCCACCGTCATCTGATGCCCCTATATGAATGTCCTGCCTTGACGATGTCTTGCTCTTGGGTGACAGAGGATTTGGGAATCATGATGATGAAGGTAGGAGACTCTGTGCTGACTGTATTGTTTCGTGTGGGGGGGGGCATGGTGTGTTGTGAGGCTAGAGTAAGAGACAGGGTGATGGTCTCTAAGAAAGCAAGTCCTAACCTCACTTAAGGGGCTCTCTCTTCTCCTCCTCCCTCCCTCCCTCCCTTCCTCCTTCCCTCTTTCTCTCTCTGTCTTTTTCTCTGAAAAACAATCTGCCGCTTAAGTCTGCTTTTTTTGTTTGTTTGTTTGTTTGTTTGTTTTTTGGTTTTTTTGAGACAGGGTTTCTCTGTGGTTTTGGAGGCTGCCCTGGAACTAGCTCTTGTAGACCAGGTCTCGGGTGCGCCACCAACGCCCGGCTTAAGTCTGCTTTGTATTTCTTTATGTTTTGCTTTTAAAGTATAATAGTTTGAAAAACATTTTCTTGAAAATATATGAAAGAAAAAGTCCCTATATAAAATGGGAACTTGGGCAGGCATGGTGGCACACACCTTTAATCCCAGCATTTAGGAGGCAGAGGTAGGTGGATCTCTGAGCTCAAGGCCAACCTGGTCTACAGAGTGAGTTCAGGACAGACAGGACTACACAGAGAAACAAAAAGAAAAAAACAAACAAATGAAAAACAAAAACACAAACAAAAGAATGGGGTCTTCTGGGGTGAGATGTAGGTTGGTTGTGGGGTGCTTGCTTATCATGCACAAGGCCTTGTGTTCTAGTCCTACACCCCACTCCCTCCGGCAGCAGAACTCAGATAAACACACGTACATGGGAAGAAACCTCTGAAAAGAGAGAACTCTGTGAGTTCAAGGCCAGCCTGGTTTATAGAGCTAAGACAGCCAGGGATACACAGAGAAACCACATTTAAAAAAATAGACAGAAGATGGATGGATAGATAGATAGATAGATAGATAGATA